ATGACAAGGTTCTCATTGATCAGATTACACCCTTGGTCTTTTTCCCATTGAACTGTGATAAACTTTCACACATCACATTTCAGTCATTGCCAGTGGCAGCTGATGGCATCTTCCATCCAAGCTGAAAAAAGGCAGAAAATCCCAGTAACTCCCTAGCCTGAAAAAAGCCACACTTTGTTTTATTGCTAGAGTAAGTACAGATTAATTACCCCTACAAATCTTTAATACTAGTATTATGCAAGGACCATTCAAGCACTAGTATTGGGCACCCTTTATTGCCAAGTATCGGTTTGGCTTTCATCAGTCCAGCGGGAAAAGCTACATTGCTGGAGCTGGAGCCTGTTTGTTTCTTCAGCTCCAAAAGCAGCTGAAGATACACATTTTGTACTGCTTCATACTTACTGTGCTCTGTGACTGGTTTGTTTCCTGTGCCTTAGCAGGAACATTTTCTTGCTCTTCTTTCTGAGCTTGAGTCACTCCATTCTTTTCTTGGGCCTCTTCCTTCGGGGGTTCTGCTGTTTTACTGTTTTCTTCAGCTGGAATTTCAGCCTGCCCACCTGTGCACATCTCTCCTTGCAGATCTCTTCTTCCAGGACATTCTGGCTGCTCCAGTGGTTTCTCACTTGCACTGGTAGATGGACTGTCCTCTGCTGAAGCCACAGAGCTGCTTGAGCACTCATCTGAACTTCCAACACTTTCATTCGATCTGCTGCCTGATGGACAACTTCTGTCAGATGCACAAGGGRAGTTGTCCCCACAGTCTGCGGCCTCATCCAATACCGGCCTGGCACATGGAATATGTTACAAATTAACATGCAGCTATTTTAACTTTTTTCTTTCATATAGTTTTTTTTAATTGCCACATTTCTCTTTCCAAAACCCACTTCAGAGAGATGTAAGGACCTACTCTAACAGCAATTTAGGTTAGTTTAGTTAACAGAAGAGCTGACAATATTGAACAGGACCTATAAACCCCCAAAACAGGTATTACAGCATTCCCAATACAGGAATGACTGGAATCTTTGACTTCTCTTTCAGGTTATATTAGGTGAAAGATGCCAGGGGAGAAAAATGATTTTTTAAAGTTCATTGTAAATATAATTCATTAATGAAGGAAAGGAAAATAGGAAGTAGTGGAATGTAATAATTTAGAAGGGGTGGGGGAAAAAAGTGCCTATTTTTGCAAATAATCTGATAGAGAATTATAGGAATGAAGAGATGTTTACTTTCAGTTCTTTATCAGTTTAATTTTCTTATTTCTATTTCAGTCTCTATCTCAGACTAGACTCTGCTTATTTGCATGCAYCTAATCTTTCATCCTGTTCAAAGCTTAAGACTTGAATATAAAAACAAGGTAAAACTCTTACCAAGGACATTTTCTTTTTTCAGATTTTGTTTCATTCTTTCCAGGCTCACCGGGACGCTTCCGACTCTTGCCACTTTCYGATGCCACTGCCTTGCTGGCAATAACCTGCAAGCCTTCAAAACAAATTTGAAAGTGAAATTCATCAGTACACGATTAATATATGTTGTAAATTCTACTTAAAATTCCACTTGAGAYGCAATTTAAAGCATTAATAGAGAGAATCACTATTAGCGATATAGACTCAAAGCTTGCACATAAACTGCAGCAAAAGCTTTCCTACATGGATTTACTAAGGCACAAAGTCAATTTAAACTGGATTCCTGGACCAAACTATCTGATTCTTCATCCCATTTGGCCTCAAGTYTCACTACCAAGCTGACAGCAAGGGAATAATATGGGGATAAATAAAATAACTACAAAGACCAACAAGTGAAACAAGGTATTCTACAGTTGGATCCACTATCTAGTTTTTATGTACAACCCCTTTATAGTTTCATTATGTAATTTTACAGCTCAGCTTCACAGAATCTGGCTGTTATTATGAGGTGACCTAGCAAAGAAAGGTAAAGCATCACTTGTATCATGTTACTCTGTTCAATGTGATTTAACAGACACTGCAGACAAAAAGGAAAAACTAAATCAAACAACTTCCACTCAAAACTTAAAATTTCATTCAATTGAAAGAAACCATCAGCAATTTAAAAAAAAAAAATTCCTCCTGGAGTGAGGCTAGAGAGGCTTTTAATGTGCTGTGTGTTGTGAGGACAGGGAGTGAGGCCGGGCTGCAGTACCGATGCGGATGGACTCCTCCTGCCGCTCGGCCATCTCGCGGTACTGCCGCTCGTACTCGGGGTCGGTGAAAGTGTGCCGCGGCTCTGCCAGCTTCCGCTGCAGCCTCTCCAGCCGCCTCTGCTCCTTCTCCGCTTCCCGCTCTGCCTGCTTCTTCACCCACTCAGCCATCCTGACCGTGACACAAACACAAAAATGAGCCTTTCCAGCACTTGGTGTAATAGTAGTTTGTTGCTCTGCAATTGCAGAATGTTCCCACCACCTGCTAGGATGGGAAAAGACAACAGCACCTAGGGGAATTACGAAGGAATAGACAGAGACTCTGCTAGAGACTCTGCAGAGAGTAGAGTTTATTATAACACCCAGAAAGAGCAAAYAGTTAAGTTCACACATCCCCAAGACATCTCTTGCAGCTTTCAGAGAGATCTGAACTCCAGATGAGGAATCCAAGACATGCCAAACAGTCTCTCAGATGCATGCTGCACTAAAATCACACCCACTTTGCAATAACAGAATTACAGTCAGGAGAGGCCTGTTGGCTTCCAGTCCATCTGCATTTAAGATTTCACTTTTGCACTTTTTAGTATTCAAAATACCATTTAATTGCTACAACAGGCTGTCACTTGACCTCTTTTGTTAACAGTGAACTCCAGGATCAGGTTATTTTATAATTTCAGCTTCTGAGAAAATGCCTTACGCTTTTTCATGATTGACATCCCGCAGCCTCCTTCCACTGAGATCTCGACAAGCCTCTCTGTTGGTTGTCTTCTCAATCTGAGCACCAAGGGCTCGTAGCATGGACCCAAACCCTTTCAGAGAAAAAAAGTAACCAAGAATTAGCTAAACAGAAACAAAAGGAGATGAGCTGGCACACAACAGAAGAATTACTTATGGAAAACGAATACAGCGACTTCAACACTATCCTGCAATGTAACTGAAGTAAAGGGAAAGTTAAAAGTTGCTATGAGATGCTAGAGAGCACCCCAAAATTGATTTCTATACATTCCTCAGTCATTAATTACTCATGGAAAGCCTGCTAATTTCTCTCACTCAGTCCCAYCTTATGCTGTCTCCAGATGAAGAAAGACCCTCATTTTAAAAGCTAAAAAAAACATAGTATGGATTAATAGCAACAGAATTCTTCATGCAACTGCAAAATCCCAAGCACTGTTTTTGAACAGGAAGCTGAACAAATTTGTACTTTTCAGTGCCCTAAAAAGACTGCTAAGGAGTGTTGTAAACAGCAGCCAGGCCAGACAGCCTGCTGTGCCATAAAGCAATAAAAAGTATTGTGTTCAGCTAATGAACACCTTCAGGAAGGCAGTTAAAAAACTTTATTAATATAAAGAGTCTAGCTCAGGTTGAGTTCTTTGGCTACTGAGATCTTGAATGTTTTTTTTCAAATAAGAGAAGATAAAGTCCATCAGGTCACTAACATAACATACTCAAATCACAGACTATTYGTACCTGAAATATTTGTCCTAAGTAACAACTGAATGACACTTAGAAGACTAAGAGGACAGGTCCTTTACAACACACCTTTAACTCTGAAGTCACTTTGGTGCAYGTTACAGATCTCTASTAATAGAGCTAACTGAAAAGGGATGTGAAGAAGAGCTGAACTGCTGCTGCCCTGGTCAATTCTCAGCTTTGCATGCACACTTTCAGCTCAGGGACTTTGTATCAGTGATACACACAACAAGAGATCTGTCAGTATCTGAGGACTCCTGCTATCAGTACAGACTATGGCACAGCAGAAGCTTTTTAACCTAAGAATCTAACCACTAACCATTAGTTTAAACAACAAACCTCCTTTTCCACCACAAAGCCTTGGCTCCAGGCTGTAAACAGCTCCACTCTGCAACTCATCTTCATCGTTGGCCAGTTGCCCATTACACTTCACATACAAGCTTTCTTCAGGGATGCCCTAAAAAAGCAGCAAAATTGGGTCAGATCATTGAGTCAGASAAAAAGAAACATTCTGACAAAGAAAATCAGTAAGCAATCGTGTCTCCTCCCTCCCAGAGGGGAAAATGCTCTGAAAAGCATGAACATTGTCTACGGTGCTTGTTTTAATTCCTGGTTACTGAAGTATTGAACACAGTCTAAATCMGCTTGTAAACATAAACAGGGAAAAGCTCTGTTATGGGAAAAATTAAGAAACAACCTGTAACGAACTGATCAATACCCTTGATCCCCTGTCCTCCTGTGCCGCTGGTGGGAAGGAGATGGAGCCCGGGAAAGAGAAAGAGGAGGAGGGAAGATGCTTTGAGGATTTCTTTTACCTCTCATAATCCTACTTTGATTTTGACTGGCAATAAATTAAGCTMATTTCCSCAAGTCAAGTCTGTTTGTTCTGTGATGGTGACTGATGAGTGATCTTCCTACCCTTCTCTCGACCTATGACCCCTTTCGTTAAATTTTCTCTCCCCTGTCCAGCTGAGGAGTGGGATGATAGAGCGGCTTTGGGGAGTGCCTGGCACTGGAGTGCCTTCGTTTAGTCAGGATCAACCTCCCACTGTGTACATATATACATAAGCACACACACATATCTAATGCAGGTAACACCACAGGACACTCTTACAGCAAACTCTCTTGCTCAGCTAAGCGACAGTAACGAAAAGCAGGGTGCGCACAGCTGGAATCACCACAGCCCGTCAGTCGGGGGCCGGGCGGGCCCGGGTCGCGGGCGGCCTGCGCAGAGCCGCCGACACCGGAAGCGCAGCGCCTCCCGAGGCCGGAGCGCCCCGCAGCCGCCTTTGGCCCCCAYTCCCCCGGCACTCACCAGCTCCCGGGCGCGGTCGCGGCGGAGGCAGAGCACGAAGCGGCTCTCGGGGGGCAGCGGCAGCAGCCGCGCCCGGGACCCCAGCGGGTCCCGCACCCACAGCGGGCCCGGCCCCAGCGCCGCCATCGCAGCCGGCCCCGCGCGGGCAATGACGTAACGCGGGCGGGGCGGGCCGGCCACACCCCTGCCCCCTCAGCCACACCCGCCCCCGCCCGGAGCCTCTCGGCCCCTTCTTATCTCATTTTATGGGGTTTTTGGTGTTTGTTGGTTTGTTTTTGTCTTTAATATATATGGTTAAAGGCGAATCCAGGGAGTCCTGCCATTCTAATTCGCGGAATTCGTGCGGCTCGYCACGTTGTAAAGCCTTTCCACGGCCCGTGAGGGATGGAGCAGAGGGAAACGCGCGCCGTGGCTCCCACTGGCGGCGGCAGCGAGAGCAGCAGCGGGAGCGGGGATGGGAACGGGAACGGGAGCGGGAACGGGAACGGGAACGGGAACGGGAACGGGAACGGGAACGGGAACGGGAACGGGAACGGGAGCCCTCGTACCGCCTCAGGGAAGGGGGCGGGTTGGTGCTGTAAACCACCGCAGGTGTAAAAAATGCAGCGGAGATGGGCAGCCCTGTGCTGTACAGTCAAACAGATTCCACGCAAGCACATGCAGGATGATGGAATCCGTCTACTTCGCCTTGTTTGTTTCCACATGCGGTTTTGCACAGGGATGGGAACAGGCCCAGATCTCTGGTATCTGGGGAGGATGCGCCTGGGTCGGGGCAATCCCAGACRTGGGGACAGACTGGGAGATGAATTCATTGGGAGCTGCCCTGTGGAGAAGGASYTGGGGTTTMTTGTGGGTAAAAAGCTGKACRTGAGGCGGCAGTGTGYACTCCCAGTCCAGAAWTGCAAACACATCCTARGCTGGATCAGAAGAAGGACAGCTGGCAGGTCAAGGGAGATGTTTCGCTCCCTTTCCCCTCATGACACCCCACCTACAGGACTGTGCACGGCTCATCCTCAGAACAGGAAAGGCAGCCTGTTGGAGCAGATCCAAAGGAGGGCCAGGAAGATGCTGGCCCAGGACAGGCTGAGAGAGCTGGGGATGTTCAGCCTGGAGAAGAACAGGCCCTGGGGAGGCCTCATTGCAGCCTTGCAGTACTTAAAAGAGGCTTATGAAAAAGAGGCAGAGACAGATAGTGATAGGATGAGGGGGAATGGTTTTGAACTAACAGAGCAGAATTTAGATTTTAGGAAAGAGCTCTTTACACTAAGGGTGGTGAGGCAYTGGCACAGGTTGCCCACAGAAGCTGTGGATGGCCCATTCCGGGAAGTGTTCGAGACCAGGAGGGATGGGACTTTKAGTAACCTGGTCTAGTGGGTGGCATTCCTGCCCRTGGCWGGRGKTTGGAACTGGATGATCTTTAATGTCCCTTCTGACTGAAGCCTTTCTATGATTCTATGATGCAATTATATAGGCACGTAAAATGTGTTTAGATCAGAATGAACGTTGATCTGAAGTAGGAGTCAACCATCAGCTCTTTGTGACATGTAATTTCCTGTAAGCAGGAAACTGAAGAATGCGTTAGGAAAAAAAAAATCACACCTCAACCTGTTCAAGTAAACACCTCTTTGTTTACAGAGATGATGGTGATCCAGGCAGTGTAACAATTGCGTTCTTTGCTGGCTTCAAATCTCCTTCATGTCTTAAATACAACCATCTAGCTAAGGATATTGAAGGCAGGTTGCTGCCAGATGTCTCTGRTGGGAATTGCTTCAAACACTAGCAAAGATGTGATTGGACTGCCCTGCGATCTGCAGYGTGATGCAGCTGTCACTATTTCYAAACAACAGTGTTACCTGCCATGCCTTTTTGTGTAATAGCAGYATGGGCAAGGCCTATAGCTSATGGTGTCATCTGCCCACTTGATGTCTGTCCCCAGCCTGGGTRTGGRTTTCCCTGGCAGGGTGGCACCTRGCACCTKGAAAATCCTTGTTAGAAAGTGAGATAGGCTCCTATGTAGGAGCCTGCAGCTRAATTYRGCTCTTAGGCATTGTGCTGTTTTAAAGATAGGGGTTGTGTCTGAGCTGCTTGGCTCCTCTCGAGAATTTGGTGATATGGCTGTCCCACCCTTCTAGCCTGCTGAGGAGCTGTGCTGCCTGGCCAGGCCTGTGCCAGCATGGATAAGTGGCTCTCATGCCTGGCTGTCTTAAGCTGATGTGATAAAGAAGGAGGAAGCTGGRAAACAAAGAGGCAAAGAGATGACTTGAAATGGAGACTTCAAAATGTAAACAAATGAGTAATAGCTTAATTAAGGGGATCTCCCGATGGGTTTGTCTTGGCCAACTCACAAATCAAACACTACCCACCATTTCTTACAYTATACTTTTAGCTAAAATATTTTTGTAAAGGATTCTGACCCAGTCCAGACAATCCCTTACTGTCTTTATTTGCTATAACATGTTGATTTTTCTGAACTATGTTGACACAGTGAAGTCATTCAAACCCTATGTGTCTGTAGTCTGCAAAAGCTGTAGTTATTTTTTGCTGGACAAGGCCCAAAATCAGTTGACATTGTATTTTAAGTCACATGGTACTGCTTGTTTCACTTATAATCACGTGCCATATCTGTGGCATGCCACCTGATGTTAAATTGCACTAGATTTGGGGTATTTTTATTCATTTGCAGTATCTGAGATGTAATTGGTGAACCTGAGGTATGCATGTATACATATGCAGATGAATAAGTATTTTCTTAGATCTGTGGGATTTCACTTGCATTCTAAGGGCATGATTAATTTCCTCCCCTGAAACTCCTGTTCTTGGCGTGGAGGGTGTGCAGCTTGCCAGTACAGGCCAAATAGGTGGAGTTGTCCAGGAAAGAGCTGGGCCACAGAACTGCCCAGTGGATGTTCTGAATCAGTGTAATTCACAGGTTGTTTGATCYGTGCCTTTTCTGAATGTTTCAGTCTACTCTTTTATCTCTGGGGTTTTATATCATCATAGTGAAAATAGTGACCTAAGAAGAGGCCTCACTGCATCCTGAGAGATGTCTATCCATGACAGAAACCTGTCATTCCTAACTCTAGGAATGCCAGATTCTGCCTGCAGATTAGAACTGTGATACCCTGTGAGCAGGAGAGCTGACAGCAGTGGAGTCATCCTGACACAGATCAGGCCCTTTGTAGATCGTGCATCACCACCTTACAGGTGGCTCTGGGCTGCTAATGCCCTCTCCAGTGCTTGGGTCTGTGTTTGGGTGATTGTATCTATGAGACTTGCCCAGATCCTTGCACRCAGTCAGACGACAAGCAAGCAGCATTTAATAGGCAGAGGAGTAGTTTTCTCTCAGCTCAGCCCTACAGCAGTCCTGGGTATGCAGACCCCGTTCTCAGGATTTATGCAATGCCGTTTCAGTTGGTGCCACGTTCATGTCAGTGGGCGAGTGTTCCTGTGTCTCTTGTTCTTGATTACACTTCTATTCCTAGAACTCATCAAAAGTCTATCGCCTTGCTCCTCACAGAAAAGTCTAAATAAGTCAAAAGGGCTGTTATTATCATTTCCCATTTGAAATGTATTTTATGAGGAGTGTTATTCTCCTGATAAAACAATGAACACTGTCTGATTCTGCAGTGGTGCTTTAGACTTACTTAATAAATCATGCTTGCCACTTTTCATTTAGAAAGGATTTCACAGACATAATTAATTAAACCTGACAGTATCCTTGTGGGATAAGTAAGTACTCTGACTCTTTCAATGGTGACACTCGGGCAAACTGGTTATACTACCTTCTCTAGCCAGTCAAAGGATCAAGCCTAGAATTTAAAACTTCCTGCTATCGTGACATTAYTTAAGATATGAGACCACCCATCCTTTTTGTATTTCATCCTGATATCCATGTGTGTGATGCCTGAGACAGTGGGTGGTGTTCTGTGGCCTGCAGGATGCAGTGTGGGAGACCAGGCTATCATCTATTAAAAATCTATTACTTGGTTTGACATGGAACCCAGTTTTTTCCAGTCTGTCTGGAATCATTAGAGGTGTAACTGTCATAACACTGCTGTTCATTCACTCACCCTCATTGTTTCCTTCAGTATGTTCCATTTTAATGGTAGTATCATTGCTTTCCAGTGGTTTTTAACAGTCTGCCAAAAACAGGACCACATTATGCAAAACTGTAATGAGGAAAGAGTAAGTGTGCAACGATATTAACAAAGGTGAATTTTGTCCACTGAGGTCACTTCCAAAATTCAAACACATGTCCGTTAAGAGGGGGGGGCTTTGTCTGCTGTGCGGTCAGTCATGTACTATCATAAATAGATGGAATTGGATCATCTGGAAATGTTTTCTTTTACATTTTAATGGTATCCTGAAGGGTAAATTCCACATAATGTATTTGCAAGGCTTAAATGTATTACATGTTTTCATATTATTTTTATTTGGAGGATCAGGACAGGATGAAAACAAACCTGTGTGTACATRTTCTTAGGACAATAACTAAGAGGCTGTTTGACAGGAGGGAACATTTTTTACTTCAGACACTATGACATCATATTGTTTGACAAAAATGTAATTAACTGTAATGAATCTAAGCTGATATTKGCAAGTACAGTTTCCTGCCAGATGTCAATGGTCATCTGCTTCAGTTTCTGTGTCATCAGTGCAATGGGTAGAGACAGGGTGTTGAGATACCTGATACTGGGCTGGGAGCAGGTGGGGGAGAAATAGAACTGTTACTTATACATTGCATTAATGCAGCAACTACTGTTTAATATACTTATTTTTTTCACAGGGTATGCCTAGATACCAATCTCCTAACAAGTTTGGGGTGAGTATTATTTTATTATTCTTATAGCCTATGGTTGTTACTAGTGTGGATACTTAGACATAATGTAATTCTAAACCCAATTTTACCCTGATATTGTCCCTTTGCTGTGCTTAATATCTTTGTCTCCATCCTGTGTGCTCTTTCAGAGAATGAATATGCACTGCTCTGCACATGTATATGTATATGTGATGGGCCTGAGAAACCAAGGTCCCTCTTTGTTTGGCCATAAGCATCATTGGCATAGTCAGA